TTTAATTTATTTAGTTAAATTATTTAAATGTCCTCAGTGAAATGTGCTAATACTGACCCCTGGTTCTGATCATTGTGCTGTGGTTACGTAGGGTGTGACCATCCGGGGAAGCTGGGGGAAGAAAATATGGAAGATGTACTATTTTTGCAACTTAATTAACATTGAGTTGGAAGAGCCAAATCTACCCTTGTCAATAATAAAACCCTTGTATTCATGACGTACTAGAGGCTCTCAGGAGTCCAAGGTTCAAATCTGAAGCGGAATATTCTAGAAATCACTGGGAGCTTCCTACGGAGAGAGGATGGGGTTGAGGTTACCCAGGCTCCTTTGCTCAGAAGCCCGCCCCCTTTCACTAAAGTATTGAGCTCACCTGTGCAGCCATGACCTGCTCAGTCTCTCAGAGCCCATCTGGCTTCAGGAAGAGTCTACAGGTAGCCTTTCCCCAGTGGCAGCCCCCGGGTTTGGTCCTTGCCTTCCCAAGGGCTCCCTTCTCTCTTAGAAGGTGGTACCCCTCTAGACTTCCTTGGGCAGGTTTCTCCTCTTCTTTCTTTACCTCTTCCGGTCTTAGTTCTGGCCCAAGGAGTTCTCGCTCAGGGGGTCCTCTCCTCCTGGGAGTTAATGTTGCTGGCAATATCTGAGAACCCCCAGGACTGCCCCCTGCCCCCATCCCCTGTTCTGCACTTGCTGGCTATTCTGCTGGTCTTGACTGCTTCTGGATTTGTGTGATTTCCCAGTCTCCTGGTTTCTCTGAAGTTAAATTTGATGTGTGAGTTGGTGATGGGTTTTTTCTTCTCCTCCCTCTGTTCTTTGTTGCCTCATAGAGTTTCAAGAAGAAGAAATGGGACTGTTTAGAATTAAGCTGCCACCATGTTACTCCCAGTCCTGGAAGTCTGGCAGGCAGGGCTGGTATTCTCTGTTTACAGAGAATCCACGTCCACTCTCTACCTTCTCCTCCCTGCCCTCGCCCTGAGAACCTGCCCTCTTGAACTGCATCACCCAGGCTCCCTCACCCTTGGAACCTGATTGGGTTCAGCCAACTGGGTATATTGGTAGGAGGTGGAGAAGAAGAGGAGAGGAATTTGTTCCTCCTGCTCCCTTCTCGCTGGGCGTGGTTTGGCAGCACCGTGTTCCTCTGCTGACAGCTGCTGCTCCTGCCTGATGACTCTTTCCTACAGCCACAGCTCCCATCGGGGTCTGTATGCTCTCTCTCTGAGCCTAACAACTCCCACTATTCCTGGTCCCTGGGGGCCTCACAATCTTCCATTGGTTTCCTCAAGTCTTGTGAACTGTCCCTTTCCTCCTGTACCTCTTTGATGTGACCTCTGATTTCTTCCATGAATGTATGAGTGTTGACATGCTAGAGAAGTCTTCCTTTGGTGGCCAAGTCTCTAGGAGACTAGTCTTGGCTCCCCTGTGGCTGGGAGAGGTCCGTGTGTGTAAGATATATGGGCTCGGTATATCCTGGGAGCTCAGATCCGGGAAGCAGAAGGGGAAAGCAAGAGGCAGGATGACAATCATAAAACTCTTGACATTCATGATATTTGCAGTTCAAATCACACGAGACAAACTTACGGTTACTGGGGTGGGTAGGGGGATGCAGGAAGGGTGGGGTGAGGGGATAAACTGAGAGTTCAGGATTTGCAGATATTAACTACTATATATATAATGGATAAACAACAAGGTCCTACTGTAGAGCACAGGAAACAATATTCAATATCTTGTAATAACCTATACTGAAAAGGAATATATATATATATATATAACTGAATCACTATGCTGTACACCAGAAATTAACACATTATAAGTTGATTATACTTCAATTAAGAAAAGAAAAAAAATCACATGAGAAATATTCATGCTTTGACATAAGACAGCCCTAAGTATTTAAGTACTTAAAATAAATTTTTTTTCAGAATTGTTAATTGCTCATTTGGCAAATTGCTATTTGAAAAATTGGCTCTCCTTGACTTGATGATGTAGCCAGCTGGTCCTTTGCCAGACGGGGTTGTTGAGCAAACTCCACTTGGGAATTTAGTTGGTTCCTGTCAAGTCTTGATTCTCCCGCCCCAAGTACTGGACTTGACCTTCTGACTCAGGACAGGCTGACATGGGTGCTCGTGTTCAGGGCCCAGCATGGGTCAGGCTTCTTCCAAGATGGGGTGGTTCCCCCCTGAGTCATCTCAACCTCATCCAGGCAGGAGTGGCCCAAGCCCAGCCCCTCAGACTGGCATCCAGGCCTGGTCAGGAGGGTCTTGGGCTGTCCTAGCTTCTTGGGCTGAAAAGGTGACCCTCAGGGAGCCATGGATGGGCTGGACTGAGCTGAGCTGAGAGAACAAAGATCTGGTCAGAGCTGGATTGGGAAGGCCAGTGGGGCTGGACCTGGGCCAGAGCACCAAGGTCTGGGGCCCAAGTCCAGCCCTGGCCAGCCTGGCCTCTCCAGGCCTCTTACCTTCTCCCTGCTGGGCATTTGGGATCTGTGTCTGAACCCAGCCGTGCTAGGAGATCTGGGGCCATGGTGTGTTGTCAGTGGAGTCTGGATGCTCACACAGGGCAGTGCATTAGTGGGGAGCAGGATCCCAAGGGCAAGGGGGTGCAATGAGGACCACAGTAGTTTGACAGTGAGGTAGAAGTAATGCTGTAGTGGCCGCGGCTTCGGGCAACACTGGGGCCAGAGCCCTGCTGAGTGGGACTGAGCTCTGACAAGGGCCTGTCGAGGGGCTGGTGAGCTCCTGAGCAGAGGGGGACGGTGAAGAGTACCCCAGGGTGGGTGGGCACTGGTGGGGAGTGGTCGTGGGGTCAGGAAGCCATCTCAGGACTGGTGCCATCCCGTCAGGGGAACTGGCACAAAGGACCCCTGGGAGTGTAAGGGACACACGCAACCTCAGAGGAAACAGGGAAGGGGCTTTGATGGTCCAGGGAACATCTCTGTGGGTCTCTCAG